TATGAGGCATTGTATGGTAGAAGATGTAGGACTCCTTTGTGTTGGTATGAGTCAAGCGGGAGTGTTATGCTCGGACTTGAGATTGTGCAAGAGACGACTAAAAAGATCAAAATGATCCGAGAAAAGACGAAAGCGTCGCAGATTCGTTAGAAAAGTTATCACGACAAGAGGAGGAAAACACTTGAGTTCCAGGAGGGAGATCACGTGTTTTTGAGAGTTACGCTGCTAACTGGTGTTGGTCGAGCTTTGAAATCTCGAAAGCTCACACCGTGTTTTGTTGGTCCATATCATATTTTGCAGAGGGTGGGAGAAGTAGCATATCGGATTGCTTTACCGTCGTCGCTTGCGAATTTGCATGATGAGTTTCATCTGTCTCAGTTGAGGAAGTACATTCTAGATCCGTCAAATGTGATTCAGATGGATGATATACAAGTGAGATATAACTTGACTGTTGAGACATTTCCAGTACGAATTGATGAATAAGAAGTGAAGCAACTGCGAGGTAAAGAGATTTCCTTGGTAAAGGTAGTTTGGGGAGGACCAGCTGGAGGGAGCATGACTTGGGAGCGTGAGGATCAGATAAGGGAGTCATATCCGACTCTGTTTCCTTGAGGTAATTTTTTAGGGCGAAAATTCTTTTAAGTGGGGGAGAGTAACACCCCAAATTTATTAGAATATTTATTTAATTTATTTAAATATGAATATTCGTATTTTTGGTGATTTTCGGTGGTTGGTGTGAATATTGAGAATTATGGATTTTGAGTTATTTATTAAAATAATAGTATATAATATGAATATATTGGTATTATTATTAATTTAAATAAATATAAGTAAATTGAGGGCAAAGTGGACTTTTGAGGAGGAGTTAGTGAGGGTAAAATTGGAAAGCTCATTTTTAAGGCCCAAAGTTAGGTTTAACAAAAAGGAATTTTGTGGGAATTAGGATTCATTCTTGTTAGACCGTGAAAAGGGAAGAAATAGAGGCCAGAGCTCTGAGGAAGAGGATTGAGGCAAAGCTTCGTGAGGTTTCCAAGAATCAAGGAAAAAGGTTTAGAGTCGACAATTAAGGTATAAGGAGTATTGCCTTCATTGTTTTCAATATGTGGTTCAATGTATTTAAAACCGATTTAAGGATTTAGGAGGTTTTTGAGTTTGAGGAAATTAGAACTTCGTGGCCAAACCTATTTTTGAGGTTATTTAAGTATGGGGATATTACCTTCATTATTTTTAATATGTGATTCAATGTATTTAAAGCCGATTTAAGGGTTTAGGGATTTTGAGTATTGAATTGTTGTTGCCTTTCTAGTGAGTTTAATGAGTTTAAGGGATTTGAATTGACAGTCTGAGAGGTTTGAGGCTGATTTGGGAGTAAGGGAAATTAGGCCTTCGTGGCCAAAATATGTTGTTGAGGTTTTAACCGTATAGGGTAATTGATTATGAGAACTCTAATGAATGTGGTAAAATTGTAAGGATTTTATGAGAATTGGAGGCGTAAATATGATATGGGATTGGCCTAATAAGTCGTAGATTTTGTACCTTAGGAATGATTTAGGGATGTTTTTGGGGCATTGGGGAAGGAAATCGTAGGGACTTTTGTGCTGGTTTTGCTACTGATGCGTAACAGCGTTTTGCTGTAATCGCGAGTTCGCATAGCGAACAATTCTTCGCACGGCGAACACTCGCCCCAGACTCGCACGGCGAACTGTCCATCGAACGTAGCAGAGTTTCGTGAATTGTGTTCTTGTGCAGCACTGTCTTGATGCTTTGATGTTGTGATTTTCTGGATGAATTACCTTGAGTATGACTGTGATTTATATGTGATTAATACATGATTGTATGATGATTCCTATGAGTAATGATGATGAGTTATGATGTTGATTCCATAAGTTTTTTATGATTATATGATGACATGCATATTATGATGATTTTGATGAATGATGATGCACCTAATGTGTTTATTATGAGGATGATATTGACATGTGCATCATGCATTCATATACATTCCGAACTTCGGTCTAGTGTTTGATTCTTGTGGCTTCAGTCCCATTGTGCGGATGTGAAGTATTTTGTTGTGCTCCGGTTCTTGTGTAGAATCGATCCTATTGATGGGGATCTATAGAGGGTTGATGACCCATTGTCCATCAAACTTTGATGAATTAGTACCACATGCATGAGTCTTATTGCATTTGCATTTATGTGACAATTTGGTGTAATTTATGATATTATGGCTTTTTTATGTTTCCTTGATGATTATGATGATGTTGAATTTGAAAATGACGTTATTTTATATATTTATTCCTATATTGATTATTATGAATCATTTTACTCACCCTGCTTGTTTGAATGTTGCCTCCATGTGGGTAACGTGCAGATGACCAGGTTTAGCTGTGGATGCCGTCGAAGACTTTTTGGAGTTTTTGACTTTTCGTTGACTTAGAGGGTCTTGCTCTGATAGTATAACATCGGGTTGGGATCTTTGAGTTAAACCATGTTTTATTGATTATTGTTATTTTGATTATGTTGTTGCGCAAGGAAAACTTTGGATTTTTCCTTTTTGAGTTCTGCCGTCCTTTGAGCAATTTTTGAGTAATTTTGGGAAAACCCATTGTTTACGGAGCATTGACTTTTATTTGAGTTATTGAGAAATGTACGCCCTTTGAGGGGATTTTTTATTGTGTTTAATATTTTACTCTAATAAATGTGATTGATTTGCCATTATATTTGTGGGGTAGAAAAGGGTGTTACAAATCTTACTTAACTCATAAAAAATTGTTTGATGACTTATGATTAGAAGATTAGGATATTATACTAGCTCACAAGTAGGGGTGGACATCCGGAGACCACCCAAAGAAACCCGTCAGAACCGAAACTTGTTTTGGCATACGAATCAGTAAACTTCGGGCTATGGTATCCATGGGCCAGTTAGTTGGATATTAATGGGTTTAAGAAGTTTGATTTAGTGGTAAATATTGGACCCGCCGGAATTCGGATATGACCGAATATAATATTAATATTTATTATTCTTATTTTATTATTAAATAATATAAATTCAAAACTGAGTGGGTCTAACATAAAATCAAATTGGCCTAGATTTTTTAATAACTTCATAATTGGATTAGGGTTAGGTTACCATTGATAAAAAATACACTCACTGGTCGCGACTCTCTAAACTACCACCACCATCATCGTTGCTCCGCCTCCAAGCTACCACCATCATCATCTTTGTCATCTCTCACCGTCTCTCTCTCTCTTGGTAAGTATATCGCCTTCTCTCCCACTCACTTCTTTATCTCTTCTTCTCTTCACGATTAGTTTACCCTTTCAACAAAATTTTTATTAGAACAATAGCATTTGAGACCAAGACTTGATAAAACACTCTTAGAATGCACCTTATCTTTGATATTTTTTCAGAATCTCTCTTTAAGAGTGCATTTTGGTTGTTTATTTTTTATACATAACTAATACTCGAAGTTCTGTACTCAACTTGGTACTTTCTAGTTTTAGTAGCCATAGTTGCATCCCTATGAGGAAGGTACTTTGTAAATTTTTAACATTTATTCATGCTTTGTAAATAAAAGGTATGTTGCAACCTAGCTTAGGAGTTATGATTGAATGAGATTAAATTGAAAGTTTAAAATGTAATTTCTCTTATGTTTTGATTTTACTTAATTCTGATTTTGATAGTTCTACATTGCTTATTTTTTATTTTGGTAGTTCTTCTATTTTGGTGAGTGAATGATTTAGTTTAGATCCAAATTAGATTATATCTCTTTTATTTTTTTCCGATAGGTTTCTCGAGTTATGCGAGGAGTTGAAGATATGCAAGGACTTAGAGATATGCAAGGACTTGGTGAGTGAATAATAAACGTGTATTATGTTATATATTCTCATATAAAATATAACATGTATTCTTGCAAGATTAGATGTATAAGTGGGAGAACTTGTTATATATTTTTGTGGTATTGAGTTATGTATTTTGTTTCTGAACTTGTTATATATTATGCTTCTCATCTAAAATGATATAACATGTATTTTGTTATATATTCTCATCTAAACTATAACATGTATTCTTGTTATTATGTTTATGAACTTGTTATATATTATGTTTCTGAACTTGTTATATATTACTTTTTTGAACTTGTTAATCTTTCACTAATAATGCTCTTTTGTTTCATTTATAGAGCAAGACACTCTAACAACAACAACACCTATTGAACCAACCACAAATATTCCACCTATTGGCCGGAAGAAAAGAGAGCTAATGTAAATGCTATTAAAAAGAGGTTTGAGGTATGGGACCACTTTAACCTTATTCCTAATAGCGATCCCGCTACTGCTGCATGTAAGTACTATCATCAAATGAACATGTGTGAGTTTAAGAAACTTGGAACATCAAACTTAAAGAGTCACATGAAAACATGCCCTAAGTATCCGTTGAACTTGTCAACTGACCCTACCCAAACCATATTGACATTTCGAATAACTTAGGGAGTTGGGTTAGTTCCAACAAGTTCTAGGTTTGATCCTTTAGGTTGTAGAAAGGGGTTGACTTATTTTATCATTTTAGATGAGAAACCATTTATTACCATTGAAGGAGAGGGATTCAAGTACATTTGTAAGCAAATACAACCTCAATTTACTATACCATCAAGGAGAAACATAGCTAGGGATTATTTTCAGTTATATCTTGAAGAGAAAGTGAGGTTGAGAGCATTCTTTAAGTCTGATTGTAGTAGGGCGGTAATTACAACAGATTGTTGGACATCTATCCAAAATCTAATTATTTGACCCTCACTGCCCATTTTATAGATAGGGTTTGGCAATACCAAAAAAGGATAATTAGCTTTACGGTTATCCCAAATCACCGAGGTAAAACAGTTGGTAAGAAGGTTGAGGATGTGTTGAAGGAGCGGGGATAGAGAAATGTTGCAACTATCACAATAAATAATACGGAATCAAATGATGTTGCTATTAAATATTTAGAGCAGAAAATAAGAAACATGAATGGACTTTTATTGGATGGGTTTGGGTTTCACATGAGGTGTTATGCTCATATACTGAATTTGGTTGTGAGAGATGGATTAAAAGTAGTCAGCACCTCAATTTCAAGTGTTAGAAATGCAATTAGGTTTGTAAGATCTTCACCCCATAGAGCTTTAAAGTTTAAGGAATGTGTGGAATATGTCGGGATTACATGCAAGAAGTCAGTATGTCTTGATGTTTCAGCTAGATGGAACTCGATATTTTTGATGTTAGATGTAGATGAGAAGTTTGAAATTTCTTTTGATAAGCTAGAAGATGAGGATGAAGACTATAGGGATTTCTTTGATGGTGATTCTCCCTAGTAGTCAAGATTGGGATAATGTTAGGGTTTTTATTAATTTTTTTGAAGAACTATTATGAAGCAACAAAGGTCTTTTCTGTTTCAACAAAAGCCATCTTGCATACAACTTTTTCGTACTTGGCTGCCATTTACATTGAGCTTAAGAAATTAAACATGGACCTTAATGGATTGTTTGCTAATGTGGCTAGAGACATGTTGGATAAGTTTAGGAAACACAGGGTTTATATCACTAAGATGAACCAACTCTTTTATTTGGGTGTTATTTTTTATCCTCGGTATAAGTTAAGATTTGTGGAATGGTGCTTTGATGATATATATATATATATATATGTGTGTGTGTGTGTGTGTGTGTGTGTGTGTGTGTGTGTGTGTGTGTGTGTGTGTGTGTGTGTGTGTGTGTGTGTGTGTGTGTGTGTGTGTGTGTGTGTGTGTGTGTGTGTGTGTGTGTGTGTGTGTGTGTGTGTGTGTGTGTGTGTGTGTGTGTGTGTGTGTGTGTGTGTGTGTGTGTGTGTGTGTGTGTGTGTGTGTGTGTGTGTGTGTGTGTGTGTGTGTGTGTGTGTGTGTGTGTGTGTGTGTGTGTGTGTGTGTGTGTGTGTGTGTGTGTGTGTGTGTGTGTGTGTGTGTGTGTGTGTGTGTGTGTGTGTGTGTGTGTGTGTGTGTGTGTGTGTGTGTGTGTGTGTGTGTGTGTGTGTGTGTGTGTGTGTGTGTGTGTGTGTGTGTGTGTGTGTGTGTGTGTGTGTGTGTGTGTGTGTGTGTGTGTGTGTGTGTGTGTGTGTGTGTGTGTGTGTGTGTGTGTGTGTGTGTGTGTGTGTGTGTGTGTGTGTGTGTGTGTGTGTGTGTGTGTGTGTGTGTGTGTGTGTGTGTGTGTGTGTGTGTGTGTGTGTGTGTGTGTGTGTGTGTGTGTGTGTGTGTGTGGAAAACATTCAGACACTAAGAAATCCTTATTAAAAGATATCAATAACAATATTTCAAGGATTTTCATGGTTTACAAACAAGCATATGACACTGTCGAAGACTTTATCCCATATGTAGCAGCCGTTGTTTCTCATGGTGAAATAGCTGTCAGCGTCGAAGTACCGTCACATGTAGCAAGAGAAAATGCTTTTCAGCAACATTTGATGTCTATGGATTTTGTGGAAGAAGAAACTGAGGTTCAAAGCTATATAGGAGGAAAATGTTTAACTTTTAATGAAAAGGACAAAGATATGTTTGACATTCTATGTTGGTGAAAACATAATGCTGGTCAATACCCAGTTCTATCCCAAATTATTAGAGATATCAGATCTACGCCAGTTTCAACCGTGGCTTCTGAGAGTGCTTTTAGCAAGGATGAGAGGGTTTTAGAGATATATAGAAGTTCTCTCAAACTTGAAATGGTCGAGGCTCTTATTTGTGCTCAATACTGGTTGAGGCCTTCCTTTTACTAAATCAAAGACTTTGAATTTAATGAAGAATATGAGATTTTTGAAGATGCTTTAGAAGGTATATTGTTTCTATCTAACTTAAGTGTAACTTTAATTATTTTTTATAATATGTTGCTAATTATTTTTTAAAATGTACTCTAGGATTTACTAAAGCTTCAACTAAAAATGGAGCTTCGTCATCCTCTTCGACTCAGTCACAACTTTATGGATGTGCCTAAAACAAATCAAGGTTAAATTCTATTGTGTTTTTCTTCTTATTTGTTAAATTAAATATGTATTCTAATTTTTTCTATTGTATTGTAGCAACCACTTGCTGAATTTTTTGGAGTCATCAATGACTCATAATTTTAAAAGCATGCATAACACAACCAACCTCTTTTTGAAAGAATTTCAAGAAACTTTGGATCCAATGCACTTTTGAAAGAGTAAGTTTAATTTAAGTTCAAAATTTTACTTCTTTTTCTTCTGTTGCAATGTGAAATGCTAGCTGACATGTTCAGAGTCATAGAAATGCTTATGAAGTTATTTGTCTTGCTGAATTTGTCTTCTTTTAAGCTTATGAAATTCTTTTTCTTCTCTTACTTCTTTTACGCCTGTTCGCTTTTATGAAATGCTTATGAAGTTATTTGTCTTGCTGGCATGTTCCGTATGAATAACTTTTATGGATGTGTGGTGTAAACCAAGAATATCATAAGCAAATCATTGCTTATGCTGCAGAAATGCTATGGTCTGTATGAATATTACTAAGACTAAGTTAATAAGGGAGCTCACCTTGTATTAAGGTTTATCAACCTTCTTCATCAACTTCAAACCCAAAGTCTGAAAATATGATCAGTAAGAATACATGCTTAGTTAAACAAAAACCATTTTGTTAGGCTCTCTTCCTAATAATGCATGAAATTGATTACATGTTGTTAATATTCATAGCATTGAAGATTTCCTTTCATATAAGTTTAGTTGCTTAAAATTATACAGTTTCCTTTAGTTTAGTTGCTTAATAAGTCTAGTTCATATGAAAAATATTCTGATATTGTAAAGTTGTTGGACAAGCACTTGGAAGTTATTCTAGAGGATGTTCGATTGAATTGTCTTTTAGAAAGGGAGACAAAGTTCAGGTATGAAGTTTATTGTAAAGCCTTTAACTCTTTCAAATAGTGATTTATTGATTGATAGTGATTTTGAAAGATTACATAGTGATATAGTGATTTTGTGATTGATAGTGTTATAATGTTTATTGTAAAGCCTTTCACCAGAAATCAAAAGACACATTAAGAGAATCAAAGGTATATTGTGATGGAATTAACTCTTTGGTTTGTATAGTGTTACGTATTTTCAATTTAGTTTGGCAATCACAATATTGCTTAACTTCCTACATATGTTTTTAGGAATTGAAAGAAATGAGAGAAAAAGATTACGAAGATTAAGGAAGATAACTCGTGTTTTATATTGTACTAACAAATTTGTGATTGGTTGTGTTGATGTTTTTTTATACTGGTTGTATTAAATTTATACTGTTTGTATTAAATTTGAGCAAACATTATGTGTTCAAAAAAACTTAAATTGTGTATATGTGTTGGGGTTTATTTTAGCAAACTCTATTTGGTTGTGTTTGGCTTTATAAATATCACTAAATTTATTGAATTTGGTTCAATTTTAAAATATCATAGATGAGTTCTATTTAAATCAGATTAATTCCTGATTTAAAATGATGAATGAGTTCAATTTTTTTAAAACAACATCATATGTTTAGTAACCATTTTTTTAAAGTTAATTTTTATAAAACCCGGTATGAGATCCATATTCTAATAAATAAATAAATAAATAATATTTGATTATTTTTAAAAATACCCAACATTGGCCCAATATGTAATTAAAAAATTGTTTTTTTAAATGGACTCAAAGTATTGATAAACTCAAAAAGTCGAATTTCAAATCCGAACTCGAAAAAAATCAAATCCAAAAAAAGTCGACGTTGAACCGGACGGAATTGGACCAGACTTTGGGTTTTGGGTACGGACCAGACTTTGTTTAACTAAGCAAAGACGTGAGCTCCCTAAATAAAGAATCATGGAAAATGGAAGGGAAAAAGAGCAAAGACGTGAACCAAACATTTACTCCATAATTGTGCTTGTAGAAGAAGTAAAAGTGAAAGAAATAATTGCAGATTTTTCATTAATGAATTAATATAAGTAGGGAGAAAAAAAAACATATATACATATTAATATAATTGCTTTTTCTATGTCAAATTAATTAGACCCCGCGAGACTGTTGAATCCTACGACACAGGGTAACCAACCAAGAAATATGACAATATACCACGCGGTCCCTACTTTTTCAAAATTGCAGGCCCAATAGATTCCAACTTCCTTTCATTTCCACTATTTCTTTGTCAACTTCACAAGCAAATATGGTATCATACATCCATCCTATCACCTCATTGAAATTCAGATGAGCTTATTCCACATCAACATTGCTCTTAGACCTTTCGTATATCAGTTTTGTCTAAGTAAAGAACAAGACTCTAGGACCAAGCTGCTATGACAAAACATTGTACCTTCCACGTGTGATATAAGCTACATGGACTTTTTCCTTCAAATTTACGTGACTTCGATGAATTTACACATCACTTTTTCCTTCAAATTTACGTGTGACTTTGATGAATGTAGTGAACCACCACAAAGACGGTAACAAACTCAAAAGATTGTGTGTGAGTGGAATTGGAAGAGAATTTTTTTTGACTTGGCCCTTGGTAAAGTATATATTTTGATTTCTAGTACTTTACTTCAGCTCAGAGAAGTGGCTGGGACATGAGCTTAAGATTGATGGAACATTTCTCCCACAAACTGGGGAAGATTTTTGGCTACTCCCAGCAGAAGAATTCTCAGTTTGTTGAGTGTTCACTGATGAATTGACTTTCCAACCTTCCGAATTTGGCTTCAAGTGGCCCCCATTAAAAGGAGTACCTTCAGCTGTTGAACACAAAGACTGGCTGTTATTGGGTTGTTGTTGCCCTTGGGATGACAGAGAAGCTGTGTAATCTCCTCCGAAAGAAATTTGCATATGACCTTGTGACCCTCTTACTTTCTCCTGAGAAATATTTTTGGCAGTTGGAGTCTTGGATGTTATACTAGATGAATGATTAACATGAGAACCCGCCGTTCTTCCCGTGATCTTAGAGTGAGAAGTTTGGTTAGAACTTTTGAATTGAGTGTGACTTTGTGAGAAAACAGGGCTATTGTTAGGAAATTTTGTAGCAGAAGCGGTATTGGTGGATGAAGCTTTATTTCGAATAGCCGTTGCAGGTTGCAGTTGTTGCATGCTATGCTGCTTCTGAAGCATTTGCGAAGACTGTTGAGAACTTGAAGTATTACTGGAAAAAGGCATGGTTGTTATCACAGTGGAAGCAATGGAGTGACCAGGCCAGTTTCCATTTGAAGGAGATAGCACAAAGTTAATATTCTTTGACGAATTATCGAAAACAAGGGTGGTTGGCCCATTAGTTGATGACTTACCATGAGTGGTTTTTTTATCATCATCTTGGTGGGAGGAATTTCCTCCTCTCTTCTCTATAGTAATTGAGTAAGTCTTCTGCTGAACAGTATGAGGTGTACTTGCAGCTTGATATCCTTGCCGTGCAGCATCAGGCAGACTTTGAATTACCACTGGATTCTGTTTCATGGATGAGAAATTAAGGTTTGACGGAAGATTTGTTCCGTTAAATGAAGCAAATGATACTGCAAATGCTTGAGATGATATAACCTCAACTCCCCCATTTAAAGGTTGCTGCTTACTGTTGCCACCAACGATATCAGATGTTGCACATGGCTTGAAAGAAAAGTTCACTGGCTGAACTGGAATCGTGAAGTTCTGCCCTTGCAAATTCTTTATAGGGTAAGATGCATGATTAGCAACAGACTGTACACTCTTTCCACTCACCTCAGTCTCTTGCTTGTGAGGATGAGAATGTGGAGTCTGTTGTTTCTGTGACTGTCGTTCTGCAGCTTTAGAGGTCAAGTTATTATTACTGTTTACTTGTGCACGATGTGACTGCATATGAGACGATGAACTACATGATGTCTGTGCAGCAAGATAACTTGGTTGTACGAGTGCTTGTGAGTGAGGGTGCTGTTGCAGATTCTGAAAAGGATGGAATGTTTGAGAAGGGTACAGAGGCCCTCCTAGTATATGTGTTGTTTGTGAAGGGCTTGCACCTCTGATTGCTGCAGTCGCTCCAAGAGAAGTTGTCGAAATGGGAAATGAATAGCCGTTGTTGTGAACTATAGTCGCATACGGAGAATTATTAGCTGAAAAATGAGGGTAGCTAAAGCTCATTGCAGAAGTAGCAGCTGGCAAAGTTGAGGAGGTACAGGGAGATCCGGCAATTGAATGCTGGGGCCTATTATATGAGGAAGCATAGTTGGGAGAATTCGCACCTCCTGCCTGATTAGAAGCTCCTGCAACTGTTGCTTGATAATGGGCCGGAGAAAATATGAAAGCAGGACCATGCTGCATTCAAAATTACAATACATAACTTGTGAAAAAAAAGAGCCATCTGAGCACAAGTAAAATGGGCAAGACCCTATTTTTCAACTGTATAGAACCAGTAAAACAACAAGAGTCACAACAAGACCATACCGCTAGATTCCCAGTTGACCCAGGGTGTTGACCTTGTAGCACAAACTGCATCTGATGTGTTGAATCTACTGGATTGGCAGTTTTAGAACTTTTAGTTGCAGCGAGATTATGATCACATGTGGCAGCCAACCCTTTCTCTTGTGCACAATTTTGGTTTAAGACTGGTAAGTGTTTCTGAGATTGCTTGCTAACAACCATACTTTCTGCCGAGAGAAGACAGTTGACATTGTTCGTTTTTGTGGCATAAATTGAACCAGAACCTGCTGACAAAAGGGGGTCTGTCTTTGTGAACTGCTGGTGTAGGATATTACGAGCAATGTGATAATGGGTTGCACATCTCTTTCGTTGTGGTTGAGAGAAAACGGAATTCACATGCTGCATGTTTGAATTATAAAAGGAGTTGTTAACCATACCATTACATGTAGACAGGTAGGGTGCTAGTATATCGGTACTACTGACAGAATAAAGAAAGTTTGAATAATTACAACTAGAAGAGCAAAATTGTGAGAAATTATAAAACCTGTGCTGTTGATGATCGAGTGGTTTCATCTGTCTTCACAACTGTCTGCAAGTGGTTTCATCTGTCTTCACAACTGTCTGCAAGGGAGGTGTGCATCTGGAAGTCATAGTTATTGACCTCAGTAAAGTCACATTATAGATATGAATGTGGTAAATTTAGAGAGGCAAAATGAAGAAAAAATATATTCTTCAGAAAATGACGATCAAATACCCAATTGGAGAGAGACTGCTCGATGGTCCTGAGACAGCGGCTGATAGAGGCACTGAACTAGAACGAGCTGAATAAGGAAAGAAGCGTTAGAAACTTCAAAAAATGAGTCAAAATCAGAATTGACACTCCATCCTGTATATTTAAAAATCAAAGTAGTTACCAATTGTTTGAACTTTGGAATTTGACAATGCAGTAGAGTGTTCCTTATTTCTATCCTGCTCTTCTAATTTATTGTTTGTCTTTATCTCATTGTCATTGTTTGGCTTCACCATATAATGTTTTAACACATCCAACTTTTTCTTAAACGCGTCCATCTTTGCTACTTCAATTTCTTCGGGTACTTTCTCTACTGTAACTTGTCTTTCCACCTTGTCTTCAACCTTGATACTAACTTCGCTCATCTGCATCAGAAGTTGTTGTAAGTTGGACTATTGGAGACTTGGAGTACAGAAAAACGAGAGAAAAATATTTCAAGATCTATAGTCAACCTACTCACCATTTCCAAGTCCGGTGCTAACTTTTTAATTTCTGGCGTTAAACCGCTTTGTGACAAATGATTCCCTTCTCGAAACAGCATCATAGGAGGAGGAGGATCCTGTTATAAAAAGGTACTCATCTTCAGCTATTTGACAGTAGTAAGCAAAGGAAATATAAGAAGATCCTCACCATCAAATCTATGTCAAACTTGCATACTCTTTGAGTATTATCCTCCAGAGCAGAAGGCATCCTAATAAATTGGGCCACATGGAAATAAGACTGTTGATCAGGTATCCTGTAAGTATTCAAGAGAAAAAAGAAAAACGAAACTGTTATTCATTGATGCTCACACTCTGGCTGATCCTGAATCCTGTTGGAACATGATTGTGACCCCCATGTGGTGGATACAGGTCTTCCATCTGCTGAAGAACCACCAAATCCAGCATCCAAATACACGTTATCTTCCCCAATGTCCTCTTTTTGAACTTCCAATGATCCATTTTCATGACAGGTAGCACTGCCGTCATGAGTGCCCACATCTGCAGGTTGCTCACTATGAATCCTGATCAACTCCTCGGTTGAATTGCAGTCTTCCGATTTCTTCTCCTCTGATGATAAAAAAAGGAAGGAAAAAAAAAAGAAAAAAAACTCCATTGAAATCAGTCAAATACACATACACACACAAATAAATAATAAATAGAAAATCTCCAAAAATTCAAACCCACCAACATCAATAGAGGCTTTGTGATTGATGGTTGCTTCAAGCTTTTGTGACGAAGACTCATGGTTCTTAGAAGTCATCAAACCATATAGAAGCTCAGCTATCTCAATCTCCATGTCTGATGAAGACGATTTAGATGTTTTAGCAATATCTCCAATGGCTTTCTGCAACAAAACATACACATGAAAATTGAAAACTCTTCAAATTTTAATTCAAACACATTAAAAAAAAACTTGAACAGACCATCTTCTGCTTAGAAGAAACATTCAAAGAAGGCAAGGCCGTTGTCGGCAAGACTTCTGCTCCTCCCGGAGAATTAGGCTGTCGCCGAAAACTATGCTCCTCCCCGCCGCCGCGAGCAGCGATCCACTTTTCGTGTGACTTTTTTACAGAAGCTGCGGAAACACATCAAAAACAAAAACTACAATAAAACGTCGTCCACTGAAAACAAAAATCGAGTGGAATAAAGTGAAAAAATCGAGTGATGCGAAAAATTGCATTTGTATTTGTATCGTATCAACCTGAACGAGCTTTCCTCGGAACTGCAACACCGATCATCTCGTCGGTTTTCTGAAACAACGGCGGATTATCCGGCTGGAAGTTCCGGTGATGATTTTGATCGGAGACCAACGGCGTCGCGAAACGGATCCGAGATAAACCAACGTCTCGATAATTACTTTCCTGTTCATTTCCGATGCTCTCTTCAGTGCCTTGTTCATCTTCGCCTATGTGACAGTGAGTTACTTGAAGAATCCCTATCCTTGTCTCGATTCCTTCCTCTCTTACTCGGAGCTTCCCTCAACTCCACCGCACCATCTTCTGCCATGAATGAAAATTTCATCGTCAATCAACCGTAATAAACAACACAAATAGACGTAAAGATAAAGCAGAAGAAGAGAAACGAATCGTTCGAATACCGGAAGAATCTCTGCGAGGAATATTCCGATGCGTGAGCTTTGGAAATCCGTTAGTAGATGATCTTCTAGACTCTCTGGTTTTATCCATGAGCTTCTGATTTCTTCTATCATGTAACCAAAATCACCGGAGATTCAATTCGTGACAGTTACGGCGAGGTGTTACCGGAAAATCAACGTCCACGGCGATTCTTAATGAGCAGAGTCTTTCAAGCACACTTCTTCTCTCCCTGTCTCTCTCTTTTTATTTTAGTTTCATTACTACGTTGCTTTATTCATAAGGAGAATTATTAAATGCATGATTAATTAACTATTTAATAATCTGATCTTTCCTTTTTAATAAAAAAAGTGGCGCGTAAGGTTGGACTCTTTTTTTAAATTCTTTATTTTTGGGGAAAAGTTCAAAAAAAATTATTAAAATATATCTATTAATAAAATATTTTTTAAAAATATATATAATTGAATGATGCTGATTGAGACATAATAACGAATAATATTTATATTATTTTTTGGTGGAAAACTTGTTTACATTTTATTATTTTTCTTGACTAAATATTTTATTACTATTTTAAGTTACAAATATTATAATTCATCCAATAAAAAATACTAGTACTAACAAATATTATAAAGTAGGTACTTTGAATATGATATATAAGAGAAAGAAGCAATCAAAAGAATATGAGAGAGTGATTTTTTTTCATTTTTTTGGTGAAGCAATGGACGGTTAAGATTGCGATAATGGTTTCGGCGCAACTCATACCGTTGGATGATGGTTGTTTGTGAATGCCAACATGGCAGACACGTTACTGTCGAGGAAATATTTTAAGCCCCACTTTATTTATATCTATCTTTTTAAATTAATTAAGGTAGTGATATTAAACAAATATCTTCTCCTTTGGCCCGTTCATGCACATTCCTCACACGCGCTTGAGATGAGCGTGTAAGTAAACTAAGCGAGCCACTGTAGTGGGGTGCAGCTGGATGAGCCGGTGTGGAACATATAAAAATATAAATCAACGAGAGCATTGGTCCTTGAGAGTATCTCATCACTTTTTTTATTGACCATGAAATTTTAGTAATTTAAATAAGGAAAATGTTAACTAGTGTCTTCAGGGCACTTTTTAAAACTTTAAATAGTAAGTTTTTATAAAAGTATGTGCAATGATGTGTAATAATGTGCATTGAAAATTAAAGTGTTTGAATTTTTTAAAGAATAATTTCTTAATATGGAATGTTTAAATAGTGTCTAAGGACACTGGTTAGCAAGACCCTTTAAATAAAAGGGTTAAATAGATTTGTCCTTATAAATACATATACTTTTTTTTGATCATGTATGCAAAATTTAATAGTAGTTTTCTAATATTAACGTGATGTTATCAGATCAATTTTATTTTCAATTCTTCTAGATAATATTATGGGTACAACAAGTAATAATTGTTCTGAACTGGACTCAGGTTTGATCATACAGACCCAACGCAACGATATATGGGGAAGGCCCGAACCAGCCCAAAATGTCGACGTCGAGCATAGGGGATCCTGCCGACCAGGCACTGCCCTCGCCGGGCATGGCACTTCTCCTGACGGACAAGCCTTCCCCTCCGTCAGGCAGAACAACGTGTCCTCCACATGTTCTCCACGTGCCCCCCCCCCCCCCCCCCCGCGCGCGCGCGCGGAGGGGGCACGTCATCAGTCAACTACCCACCTTCCGGAGATCACGGGATGGTTAAACTAGAGCGAAGACCACGTGCTGCTCTTCACTACGCCACGTAAGCCCCAGCAGTCACTTGGGTTGGGCCTGGCCATCCAGCCCAACTCAAATGACTGTTGGCCCTGCGCTGGGGTCTCACTATAAATTTCCTCTTTCATTAAAGGATCAGGTATTCTCTTATTAACCTTCTTCTGTATTTGCTCCTCTCTGGTCCATTTTCTCACTTTGCCATCGGAGTGTCTTGCAGGTACACCCCCATCATCTCCTAAACACCTAGGTGAATAGCTTCCAGATCAGCGACGCATGGCAGATCATTGATTCCCTTCTGGTCAGGTACGACCAGTGGCACCGTTTGTGGGAAACTAAGCTCCCCCGTTCCTCCGAGCAGAGAACTAAAGCTTCTTCTGTTCAAACCTCGTGAATTATGACTAGCTCACGTCACGCCGATGTTGTCCATAACTCCGTCGTCACGCCGGCCACCAACGGCGATTAGCAGACGAGGACATCTCAACCCCGCGAGACCGACGTCAGGGACGGCCGAACCGCTTCCCCTTCCTCCGAGGAAGGCCCTCACGTCGTTCCCCGACCAGGGAGTCTGGCGGTATTCCAGCTCATCCCCACACCAGTCGGTGCTGACCCGACGATGGTCGCCCTCTTCGCGGCCATCAACCAAACGAACCAAATCCTATTTCGGCATAATAAGCGCATAGCGCGCTGGAACACGACACCTCGTCCCGCTCCCCTCCGTGGAGAGATCAGTGCGGGAACTCGAGGAGTCTGTCTCCCCAACCGCGAGGGGCGTCGACCACAGTTGGAGAGGCCTCAACCCGT